TTCAAAGTGTATGGTGAAACTATCAAATAAAATCATTCATTCGTTCCCCGTGTTCCCTGTTTTCCACATTTTGATTTAATCTTTCTGTACCCCTCCATAACCTCAGTATCATTGTTTTGCATTGGCACCATGCTTGTTCTCAAGCCGGTGTATTATACATATATATAGTGCTTTCTGTAGTCCGAAGAATACTCATATAGAAGTTGCAGGTTATTTACGCATTTGTTTCTTAATGGCTCAGGCTGGACTCGAAAGAATGTTTTAAGCCAAGAGATTTATCATTTTCATTGAGATTATCCGTAAATATGTTGCATTTAAGAGGATGAGTATTTTACTCTCCTCGAGTTTTAAGATCTTTAGTCAATATGGCTAATTACGAATGTTTAGCAGAATCTACATTGCAAACAGCTTGATTTCGAATGAGTTCACTGAAGATTAGTATAACACTCTACGCTATGACTTCCTGTGGTCTAGCAGAAGATACTCGACCATTGATTGCACTGGAAACACAATAAGACAAGAAAATGGTGTAACACAACTTTACGTATCCGACTTTCAATATCTCGAAAACGTTGCTCGTGTCTGGTGGGAACCCTAGATGGACAATAACGAGGTTCTGTCCTCGTGTGTTGGGTGCGGATAGTCGTTATGTCAATGATGTAATCACTCTGCACCGTCTCCGATGGCTTGGTCACGTTTTGTGTATGCCTACTCACCGTCTACTTTTCGGTGCTCTCCCTCTGCGCTTATTGATATGGCGTACAGGTGTGAAGAGGCAATTTTTAGTTTTGGATTCGGTTGGTGCAGCATGCCTAACTGGTTGGGTTCCAGGGAACGATGAGTGGAGTCGGTTGGAGAGGCTAAGAGATGTGGCCCATAACAGAATTCAATATCGCTAATGCTGTGCGGCCTGCCTGTTGAAATCTTGTGCCTCGTAAAAACGATAAACTAACGCGCAAAAATATGAAAAAGTATACAGTAAATATATATATCATCGGCTTGCGGGCAAGCAAGGTGCCAGCACCTTAACAATAATAACGTTAACAAGGGATAGGTGTATTGAGATACAGAACAGAGTAAAAATAAGGTTAAACAGTTATAATGGATAACAGTAGATAACAGAAATGGCAACAATTTTTGTTTTACCGTACGCTAGAAAACAAAGAAATGTTTTTCTTGTTCTTTACCATATTTTTTACCCCATTTTACTCTGTTTTATATCCCAACTACTCCATTCTCTGCTACTATTATTGTTGCCTTGACACCATGCTTGTTCACAAGCCGGTGATTTACTTTTACAAAAAGTAATATATGAATGACTCGATAAAATTTCCCTGGAAGCACACGACTGCTTTTACTGTTCTTGTCGCACGTCAGGCATGCATTTACCATAATCTTTTTTCCATATCATTTATATGCTTTTATCCAGAGATTATAATTTTTGCAATAACCTTATTTGCAACGCCGGGTATATATACATCCAACATGCGGTCAACCCATAAAAAGCGACTAATGAGCTCAGTTCAAATGAGTCTTTACAACCATAATCCACGTGCTTCCGTGTATTGGTTTGAGTGTCTTCAAGCTACCCATTTTCGTCACAATAACCTTGTTTGCAACACCGGGTAACCATTGGATAGAAAGCTCTTTCAGAGCCAGTCCAATGAAGAATCAATGCTATGATTCGATGTTTTGTAAGTGGGTTAGATGCTACTAACCGCAACAAACGTGACCTGATGGTCTTGGTAGAGTGACCGTGTACTTACTTTGCGTTATTTGCTTGAAATTCACCACCGCTACAGGTATGTTTTCTTGTGCTTGAAAGGGGCCTTAAATTTAGTCTCATGTTTATAGGGATTTGACTCAGATTTGAGTGAAATTATTGGAAGATTTTTTTTCATAAACTTCCCTCTGCTTAGAGTTTTCTGTCGAGTTACTCAAGCAAGCAATACTTTTTATCAAAGACTGTTCAATTCAGATTTGCTTGTTGTATCTGCTCTAGGAAAAGTATTGGCTTATTAATTAGGCTTACTCCAAAAACAGTGTTATGTAGTGCTTACACGAGCGAACCTTATACAGCTTAGTAGGTGATGATTTTATAGTATGTTTTAAGCAGGTTTTAGGGAGAGAAAGCTAAACAGAAGAGTGCACAAGGGTTGTGTTCCTATACTAAATGATATTTTTACGTCCAAAGTCTCGGAATTTCTGCATTTGTTGAAGTTAATTGCTCGTGCTTTAAAGATGAACGATTAGGAATTTATAGTTGCAGTAACTTAGTGGCTGTTTTGGGATTGATGCCTTTACAATGTAAGGAGCTATCGCAGTTCAGTTCAGTTTTCACAGCAATTAGCCATGCACTTCAGTGCACCGGTTTAGGTTGCTGTCATTTAGCTCCCCATTTCGGATGAAATAGTTAACGAATGATTTGAATATTCAAATCAGTGTCTGAAAATTTATTGAAACTTAGATGGTAAATGTTTGGATCAGCTCATTCACAGGCAACAGGCATTTAAATGCATACAAAACAGTGGAGAATTAACGATCTCCCAAGGAGTGAAACCCACAACCAGTATCATCAACAATACTTGTGCCTGTGAAGAACCGAATGGACTAATTCAAACATTCACCATCTAAATTGATTGAGCCATTCGCACAAGGCGATAACCGTCGGCCGTGTAGCTCAAGGGTAAGGTTTTGAAGTCCCAGTCCGAAGAATCGCGTTTCCAGTCCTGACAGGCAGATAAAAGGTACACACTGCTGACGAGTCTCAAACAGGACGAAACAGCTGTCCAACGCTCTTTGTTGGTTATCACAAACTTTTCCATCACATTTAAATGCTTATTAAAACTTAGTTTGAACGAACACTGACTGAATGCACGAGTGCCACTGGTTACAATGAACAGCCATGTCGCTCATTGTGTTTGACTATCGACTACGCTGATCTCGATGTCCTCATCCAGGTTCAGTTCAGTTTAAATAACCATTAAGCATGTGTTGCGGTGCGACGCTTTTGGTTGCCCATTTGGGTGAACAATAAGAGGAAAACGGGAAGGCTGAAAGTAGGATCAAAGACAAAATGGAGAAGTTCAGTGGACTAATGATGCAGATAAATTGAGAAGATGCACGAACGCCAGGAAGCTCAACCTGACCTATTTGACTCAGGTCTTAGCTTGCCCATCCTTTAATTTATTCTACTCATCAGCTTACCCGGAAAACATCGCGCACCGAGCAATCTATTAGACTATCACACGTGTCATAATAAACAAGGACGATCGTAAGCTTATAACAACTGTAACATGCATCGTTAACACCGTGTCTTCCAATGTTGAATCTAAATCTAGACTATATAAAAAAGAGATCCTGATACAAATCTCCTCTTGGTAATGAAATTAACGTATGGGCTAAATGTTGAAACAATACTAAAAGGTTTTCCAAGAAAAACTGGGTGATTTCTCTGGCGTTTAACAACCTGACAGTCTAGTCAGCTTAATCCGAAAAGCAGATGGTCAATGCGTGAATACCATAGTTTATTAGGGATTTTATAAATGTCGAAATATAAATGTTTGCTCTCGATATCCATATCAACAATTTTTGAAATGCACATTCCAAAAGAGTGATATTAGGAAGGTCAAAAGAGTGCCCAAATCTACAAACGTGACGAAAAAGTCGATCGATTTCATTCAATCAGTATACTTTTTCGGCCACATGCAACAGTCCACCTTTTATCAATTTTCTTAAAATTAGTATTTTAATAATTTTAGTTCTGGTATACCCTTTGAATAACAAACTGTTTATGCTTTTTCAACACATGCTTCATGTTATACGTTGTTACTCCAATCGCGGTTATTCAATCATAGTTTTGTTCGATTTACAGTTATGTGCCCAATCATGATAGAGTATACATTTTGAACAAAAGCGGTGGATCATTTGGATCACGGATAAAATAATCAAATCAAGTGATTGAGGAAAACAACAATTAAACAGTCAAACAAATCTCAAGTTCCAGCATGGTCTTCAGTGATCCAACGAGTTCAAGTGATGAAG